GCAATTAAAATAAAGTTACATAGAGGATATTAAACTCCAAAAATTGCAAATCTAAAATTAGATCAATAATCAACTTGCAGCTGTCAAGAATGCGAGCGCTACTTAATTGTATAATTGACCAAACTAAAACAGAAAACAGTTGTGAGTGCGCAAAACGGATAAAAAGTTGGGCCATCGAAAATTGAGAAGGTGTTATTTGGCGCTATGAGTGAAGAGCATCAATAAAAATTCGATTGAGCGCGAATCAAAGCTAGATAACGCACAGTCAACTAAACATATGCATGAATAGATAATGCGCAAGCAAATACGCACACAAACAAGGGCATGCAATAAAATGTGAATATGTATGTCTGCTTGTTTATTATCAACTTATGCTTCGCACTCAGTCGAATTTTGGTTGCTTATCGCTCCAAGCAAGACTAGCTCAATTTTGTATGCGCTCATATTTTGTCCGAGTGGATTGATATGTTTAACGGGCTGCAGATTCTGCACAGAGCCAAGCTGTTAAATGCTGCTTGGGTAAGAATGTGGCGCATGTTTAACCTACAGATCAGACAGACCTGAACTACGGCCAAATTGCCATCGTTATAATTGAAAGCTGAATACTGTTTTTATAATTAATAAGAGTAGGTAATAATTATTCCTATTATTATTCATAGGCAAATCAATATTGTATTACATTCGATTCTGTAGAAGACTAAGATCGAACTTAATTAAGCCCAGCTAGAGCCTTTTAAAGTTTTACAAATAAAATAATTTATTCTTAATTTTTTTTCAGTTGAGTCTTTCACGCTCATGGTAAACAAATGATTAAAACAGATGGTTCCTAGATGACCCATATATCCTTGGTCATACCATACCATAGATATAGTCCTAGTTAACCTAAAGAGCCGAATACTAGCAAAATGCGTAACTTATTGAGAAACATGTATGCTTTTTCAGCCGCCCCTTCGCTGGTTCCTAGCTGATTAAATATACCCTTGGTTATACCATACCATCGATATAGTCCTGGCGAACCTAAAGGACCAGATTCTTGCGTAATTCGCATGGAAATGGTCCAAAAATATGTATGCATTTTCTTTCAGCAACCCTGTACATGAGCTGTAGCAGCAGCAGCTCCTAAACACTCCGTTTACAGCACCCCTTTTACATTAGCAGTAGCTGCGTCTGCTAATTAAAAGGCCTATTTACATCACTCAATTTATTACTTAACAGCCGCTTTACAGTACTCATTTTCAGTGGCTTAACAGCACTCATTTTAAATGAAATTTTTCGGGCGCTGAAATCTTTTGTCGACCTTCTGGGCATTTCTGTTTGCCTGGTATTTCAGCCGAATTTTAGTACAAATTGGGGAGCCGGCCGCCAACAAGCGCACCCCTTTTGGGTATGCAACAGAAATTTTTCGTCGACTGAAAAATTTTGTCGACCTTCCGGGCATTTCTGTTTGCCTGGTATTTCAGCCGAATTTTGGTACAAATTGGGGAGCCGGCCGCCAACAAGCGCGCCCCTTTTGGGTATGCAACAGAAATTTTTCGGTGACTGAAAAATTTTGTCGACCTGCTGGTCATTTCTGTTCGCCTGGTATTTTAGCAGAATTTAAGAAAAATCTCGGTAGCCAGCGGCCGCCAACGGACGCCCCTTACGGGTATGCAACAGATTGCAATTCCATATCCCTTGGAAGTAGAAAAACGGGAAATTGTTTAAAAATTTAATATTAATTATTTATTTTTGTTAATATGAACAAATTTGTTGTTTTATGCATGTATTTTCGGTGTTAACTTAAACTGGCTATATCAGGCTTAAAATACGTCCGATCCTGGAAGGATTAGCCGCGTTAGATTCGTAAAAGTCCTTAGAATCGATTAGAGTCCTTGAATCCTTTAATCTGAAAAGATAAAAACACATTTGAATCAAAAATGTTATAAGAGAGATAAAAGGGTATTTTGAGGAAATAAATAGCCATAACTCGGACATATCCTTGCAGATTTTCTAAGGACATGGTGCGTTAGGATCGTGGGGCCCAACTGCATCAAAATATTAGGGGGTCATCTAAGAATCCTGGACTTGCTAATTTTTCAGTCGCGGGCCGCAAGGAAAATTGCGTGAAATCATCAAATTTTAGTAAAATCGCTATAACTCTGAAACTATAAGGACGATCTTTATGTCCGTTGGCCAGTTGGTGGGCCTGGTCAGTACAATTTTTTTGACACATGTCCTGCCAGGATACGCAAGGACACAGCCGAGCTATGGTCTATTTTCTCTTTTAAAATTTGCCAATAAAAGTTCGTTGTTTGAAGGACTTTCGTCCTTCGGGTTGTATATTCTTAAATGGGAGGGTGGGGACTATCTGCTGTCCAAAGGACATCCCGATAGTCCTCCAAATGGCGAAGTTAGTCCCGAATTTTTCGATATTTGGCTATTTTCTGACTAGCCCCCTGTGAACATTTTTAGTGAATGTCCTTTTTATAAAAGTAACCATATTTCGGAAACCACATGAACGATTTTAATGTCCTTTGGCCAGATAATAGTCCTTGCCCATACAATTTGTCTGACACAGGACTTGTCAGGATATGTAAGGACACGACTGAGTTATGGCTTTCTTAATTTATAACATTTTTTCTGATATCTTGGGTGTTTGAAGGACTTTCGTCTTTTGAATGGAATATTCGGAATACTGACGATGAGGACCATCGGTTGGCCAATGGACATAACGATATTCCTTAGAATGGACACGCTGTGGCCGATTTTCTATTTCATGTCCTTTTTAGGAAAATAGCCCTGTATTCCAAACTATAAGGACGATTTCGATATCCTTTGGCCAGTTGATACTGGTATTCCGAACGAATAGTTTGACATACAACTTGTCTATTTTCTACTGCTATTGCTTATTTTCTGTACAAACAAATTATCTTGACGGTCTGAAGGACATTTGTCTTTTTCTTTCCAAATTCTGAATTGGGTGGATTAGGACAATCGGATATCTAAAGGACATCATGATCAGTTAGCATACGTCCCAGCTATTGCATATTTTCTGTACAACAAATGTCCTGCTATCTTGACTATCTAAAGGACGTTCGTCATATTCTAAATTCTGAATTGGGAGGATAAGAACAATCGGTTATGCAAAGGACATCACGATAGCCCAAGAAACAGTTATGGCGGATTTTGTGAATTATGTCATTTTGAAAACATTAGCGATATCTTGGAAACTAAAAGACCGATATCGATGTCCTTTCGGCAGATTATAAGCCTGGTTCCCAAGAGTTGCTTACTACAGGACTTGATAGGATCTGCGAGGATATGGGCGAGACGTTGCGTACTTTGTGTAGAGGGAAATGTTGTTTTATCTTGGCTGTCTGAAGGACGTTCGTCCTTTAATTTGTCTCTGCTCGTCTATACGAGCCGTTAAACATTGGGCTCTTTACGAACCGCTTGGATATTGGGTACTTTCCTAACAGACAAATATCCTTTTATCTTGGTTTTGTACCAGGGCTATCAGCTAGCTATCTTGGTTAAGCATTACATGGCATATCCCCAAATGTTCAAGCTTATTTCATATGAATAAATAATAATGTTAGGCAATAGCTTAACGCTCATAAGAATGTGCATTTTGAAAGCTTGCTTATTAATAATATAATTACCATTTTTATGTCCTTTGGTCAGCTTGTAGCTCTGATCCCTATGAGTTTTCCTCCGAAAAATTTCCACCGAGTTATGACCAATTTTCTGTATGCGGTAATTAATTATTTACACACGGCATGTGGTTGTGTGTGTTTGTGTTGGTGTTTTCGTGTATGTGTGTGTGTGTGTGTGTGGCATGTGTTGATTCCTCTGCTTCTTACGTTGCGTGTTTCTTGCGTGTTGAGGTTCAAATGTTAATGCATGTGAATGTACTAAATACTAAGCATTGCACGTGGGTTGCCACAGTTAAAGGGCCTGTAAATAGATAAACAAAATAATTTTTATTCAAAATAATTCAACGTTTAAAGATGGTCGTTTTTAATACATAGACGTATTTATATAAAAATATGTAGACAGAAAAAAAAGCAGATGCGAGGGTAGCTGGATGACATGGTCGGTTTAAAGGCAGTAGGCAAAGCGCTTTTAAAGCGCTACTTTTCGAACTGCTCTCGGCTTATGCACACGCATACACATGCAAGCTCGAGCCTTTTGATGACAAACGCACTCACGCACACACACACACATCTTAAATGGGCGACCACAAGTAAAACAACAGCAACAACAAGCGGCGAGCTGCCGGCAAACGGCAAACAGCAAATGGCAACCAAAACGCAAACCAAAAGCAGCCGCCGCCAACAAGAAGAGCCGCGGGGCGAAAAGGATGAGAATGGGAGGTGAAGAAGTCGCCTAGAGCGAGAGAGAGCAAGAGCGACGCCAAAGGAGCCACAAAAATTTGGTTTGCGTTTGATTCTTCGTCGCATAAGCGGCAGAGCCTGTCAGCAGCAACAACAACAACAACAACAACAACAACTATAACAAGAACAACAAAGGGCAGTAACAACATGAACGCGCAGCAGTAAAGCAGCGACGCGACGCAGCTTTGGGCAGAGGCTGATGCTTGTTGGCAAAGCCTCGTGGTTTTCATAATTGAGGTCGCTCTTTTGCGCTCTTGCTCCCTCTCTTTCTCTCTCTCTCTCATTCTTTACTGTTTGTACTGCGTGTATGTGTAACTATTAATGGAGTGCAGTGGTAACTGGATGCCGTGTGGTGCTGTCCTAGGGAGAGGCGGAGGGGGGGTCAAGGGACAGGTCACATGACTCGTCGTCGGGTGTGCGGTGCGTTAATTAAGTTTAAATATTTGTTTTCTGACTTGTGTGTTGAATATGTCAAAAGGCAGGCGCCACCTCAATAAGCGGAGGGGCTTGTCGCTTGGACAGTGGGCGTGACCAGCAAAACTTTTAGCATTATAAACGTATCACAAGTACATCAACTTGCATACAGATAACCAACACTTTCTTCTCTCTCTCTCCGTCTCTCAGCACAATGACGTACTCTCTGATGACTCTGGACATCTCGGGCAACAAGATGCAGCAGCTGCCACTGGAGGCACTGCAGAGATTGCACTCGCTGACGCGACTCGTGGCGCAACGGTAAGTGGATTGACTCCAATTTCTGTTGTCACGACTGGGCGTGGCAAAGTGGGAGGCACTTTTGAGTGATGTACAGAGAGAAATTTAGTTAAAGTTCCACTGAAAGAAATCTAGTACTAATTGTGATATAGCTTAGGCAGTTAATATTATGCCATATAAACTACATATATATATTCTAATTTTTAATAAATCTTGGCCTAACTGCAATAATAATAATAAATATATCATAATTTATCGATTCTATAATATGTCCGCTTTATAAGATGCATTGGGTATTGATATTAATGCGAATCAGAGAAGATCAATTGATTTAATTATTTGATTTATAGCTAGGGTCGGTGGCGGAGATGGGTGGGTGGAGATGGCAATGAAATGATCTGTATAATCCAGAAGCCATATGTTGTACAAATTATCTTACTCTAGCTCCTAAGACCTAAGAGATTTGTTCAAAACACAGTATTTTGATATTTATTTGTATCGATTATTTGGAAACGGGACAAGTTATCGATTATCGGAAAGAACCTCGTACTGACCGGGAACTAGGAGGACTTTTGTCAAAATTTGCCCAAGCTCTTATAGGTTCTGAGATCTATACGTTTATACATACGGATATACAGACATACTGACGGACGGACACAGGGACAGACAGACGGGCATGGCTAGATCGACTAGGCTATTAAAGCTGACCAAGAATATAAAAAAACTTTATGGGATGGGGGAAATGCTTTCTTCTACGTGTTATATACCTTTGCACAAAACCAATATATTCTTTTTACCCATAGAAAAACAATAAGTTAGAAAAATCAAGACTGATTTTCTCTAAAAGTATCTAAGCGTGCATGATGAAACATACAAAAAACTAAGAAACCAATTTCTTAAGAAATTCTTGAAGAATATCTGAGAAATATCTCCGAAAAATCTTGTTTAGTTAGATTGAAAGAGTTGTACGCACCAAGTTTGTTAGATCCCTGTATATATTTCTCATTAGTTCAATACGATGTCTCTCTTTCGTTTCTTTGATAGGAATCACATAACCAGCTTAGAGGGCAACTGGGAGGCGCAGCACGATACGCTGCGTTCACTTCATCTGTCCGGGAATGACATTACGGAAGTGGCGCCAGGTGGTGCTCAGGATTCGCTCGCCAATCCTGGCGATAACAGCTCACAGCCGAGCAGCTTGACTGCGGTGCAGAGTCGGCTGGATGGCAGCAATACGTTACATGCAGCTAATCCTGGTGCTGACCGGGCGGGCGGCCGTCCCTTTGAGCAGCTGCAGAAGCTGCTTTGGCTGGACTTGTCGAACAATCGCATAACCCATGTGGCGGCCAACTATTTGCCACGCTCGCTGGTGACCATGGATCTGTCCAGCAATTTGTTGAGCGTCTTCCCCCAGCAGCTGTTCGAGCAGCTGCCGGAGCTGCGTATTGTCAGTCTGCGGGACAATCTGCTGCGCAGCGTCCAGTGGAAGGAGCTGCAGTTGCGGCCGCTGCGCATGCATCTGGAGAAGCTAGATCTGGGTCAGAACTGCATTGAGCACCTGGAATCGGACTACTTCCAGCAAAACTATTCGGACGTGCACATACGTGCGCTCAACATGGAGCAAAACTATGTTGGACAGCTGCCGGCGGAGGTCTTCAAGGACACGGGCATTGTGCATCTTGTGCTGGCTTTCAATGCCATCAGCCGAGTGCATCCGGCTGCATTTGAGGGTTTGACGGATACGCTGGAATACTTGGACTTGGAACGCAATCACCTGACCACTGTGCCGGTGGCCATATCCACACTGCATCGCCTGAGATATTTGTATCTCACCTCCAATCAGATCGATCAGCTCAGCAATTTGCCCACGTTTACGGAGAATCTGAAGGTCTTGAGCCTGAGCGGGAATAATTTTACAATGATACCCGTTTTGGGCTTGAAGAACTACACCCAGCTATCCTATCTGAATATGGGCTACAACTCCATAGCCGATATACCCGAGGGCATCTTTGCCGTGGACGGCTGGGGCGCCAACCTGCAGACTATTCTGCTGCGGAACAATAAGATAACGCATCTGCATCTGGGCTCGTTTGCGGGCCTGGAGCAAATACAGGAGATTAGCCTGAGCTTTAACGATATAACCATACATCATCCTTTGGTCTTTGAGAATGTTTCGCATACGCTGAAAATTCTGGAGCTCTCGTTTGCTGTGTTTCCGGCTAGAAGCTTGGAATCCCTTGATCCGCTGGATGCCCTGTTGCCACTCTCACAGCTGATTTGGTTGGGCCTGGACAATAACAATCTGAAGAGCATTTCGAATGAGTCGTTTGCGCAAATGCGCGAACTGAGCTACATCAATCTGAGCTTCAATCAGCTGAAAGCGCTGCCACGCGGTCTCTTCCTGCCGGATGCCCACAGCCATCTGGTTGAGATTGAGCTCTCCTACAATGCCTTGGAGCGCTTGGAGCCGCAAACCTTTCACAATCTGGGCGACTTGCAGACGCTTAATCTGCAGTCGAATCGTCTGCGCAGCATTGCCCGTCATGCCTTTCACAATCTCGAGTTCCTACGCTATATAGATCTATCGTACAATCGCTTGACCAACATATCCCATGCCGCTTTTACCGTGCTGCCCAATCTGGCTGCACTAGATCTTATGCATAATCAGCTGTGTGGCATATCCTTGAAGTCCTTTCACTATGTCTCGAATGCGACAACTCCGCTGCGACTCAATCTTAGCCACAATCACATCTCGAGCTTCGATGATGAACTGAGCAGCTATATGTATATATATCAGCTGGACATCAGTCACAATCATGTGGCCAAGTCGGATAGTTTTACCAATCTGGCCAATACGCTGCGCTTCCTCAATTTGGCCCACAACGCTTTGGGCGCTCTGCAAAGTCACGCGTTCGGGGACTTGGAATTCCTGGAGATTCTGAATCTGTCCCACAACAATCTCAGCTCGCTGCGTCGCCGCAGCTTTCAGGGTCTGAACAGCCTGCAGGAGCTGGATCTCAGCCACAATCAGCTGGACCAGCTACAGGTGGAGCAATTCTCGAATCTGCGCAAGCTGCGAATTCTGCGCATCTGCTCCAATCGGCTGCGCGCTTTGCCGCGCGAGGTGTTCATGAACACGCGCCTGGAGTTTCTGGACATATCCGACAATCAGCTGAGCGTTTGGCCCGTGCCGGCTTTTACGGACATCGGCTTTACACTGAGATCCATTCAGATGTCGCGCAACAGTCTGGAGTATCTGGACGCTTCCATGTTTGTCAACTCACAGTTCCTCTACGACATAAGTTTGGCGCGCAATCGCATAACTATACTGCCGGATAACACCTTTAGCTTCCTTAACAATCTGACCAATCTGGATCTATCCGAGAATCCGCTAGTGACCACCAATTTGCGTGAGGTCTTCGTGCACACGCCGCGTGTACGCAAACTAATCCTTCATCACATGGGCCTCTATGTTCTGCCCACGCTGAAGCTGCCGCTGCTCTCCTACCTGGACGTCAGCGGCAATTATCTGCAGGAGTTGTCGCCGCTGGGTGGAATGCGGCACCTGCGCTACGTCAATATCTCCCACAATAAGCTAATAAATGCCAGCTGCGCTGTGGAGCATTTGCCACCTTCTGTAAGGGTTCTGGACCTGGCGCACAATCCCCTACGTCGCATCACTCTGCACGATCTGCTGAGCCTGCGCCATCTGTCGGAGCTCAATCTGCTGGACGTTAAGGTGGCCAATCCGCAGGCCTTCTCCAAGCTGCGTTCGTTGCGAAAACTCCATGCCAGCTCGCATGCAAATCTGGGCGATTTGGTGGCCCGTCTGCCTGGCCTGCAGGAGCTGCGCGTACACTGCCTGGAGCCCAATATTGGGGGTCAATTGCTGGCCAAGCTGGCCAACAATACGAAGCTCCAGCTGCTGGAGCTGTACGGCAGCAATGTGCAGACCATATCACCCGATGTCTTCACTGGACTCTCGCGCAATCAGCGGCTGAAGGTGAAGATCTCCCATACGCGCATCTCGGATCTGCCGCCAGGCATTTTCTATACACTGCGCGCGGTGCCCCACCTATCCATTGATATCTCGCATAATCGCATCAATGCATTGGCCGCCGATAGCTTCTATCCCAACAAGAGCTACTGGGATGCGGTGGGCACGCGCAGCATTATGGGCGGCCTCATAACCGCGCACAATCCGCTCGAATGCGAGTGTGGCCTGGTCTGGTTCGGGCATTGGCTGCGTCGCTGGCTGCGCGAATCGGCGCAGATCAAAGTCATACAAAAGGATGACCTCAAGCGTATGGTGCAGGTGCGTCTAAACAATCCAATAACTATATTTCTATTCTACTACTCAATCGTTATCTTTAATCTTGGTTTATTTTTTTCGCAAAAGTTGCCTCTATCGGTTGCCGATATGCGCGTAAGCTTTTTATTGTTTCTATGTAATTTAAGAATAAACCCAAACAAATATTTACCTTTCGGTAAAACTATAAGACTAACGATACTTGGAAACTCTAGTCGATCAATATCTACAGATCCCTCAAATATAACCGAAAGATACAAAAATATTTAAAAAAAGTAAAGCGATTTCGAGATACAAAAGTATATGCAAAAGAAAGAAGTATCAGTGAGATATTAATGTATCTGAGTGATTAAAAAATATCTGAAAGTCGCACAAGAAGCAAACTAATTTAATGAGAAGGTTGGTGTATCTTACACAAGGATTTGTATCTACCAGATGCGTTTTAATGGACTGAGATAGTTTTGCACCTTACAAATTTAATTCTCAAAAATTTTAGAATCCCACATAAATATTGTAGTCGTTTTATCTCACAGATACTGTTGTTGTAAATCGCAGATATGGTTATATCTTACATATACTTTTGTATCTAACAGATACTTTTGTACCTTACAGATACATTTGTAGCTTACAGGTACCTTTCTAGCATACAGATACTGTTGTATCTTACACACACTGTTGTATCTCACAGATACTTTTATATTTTACAGACATCTTTCATACTTGCAGATGGTTTTCTAGCTTTCAGATACTATTGTATCTCATAGACAATTACAGATACTTTTGTATCTTACAGATACTTTTGTATCTTATAGATACTTTTGTATCTTATCTTTTGTACTTTTGTGCCTTACTGATACTTTTGAATCTTACGGATAAGAATATACCCCATTTATGACCCAGTTACTTAAATTTTTTCTACCTATCGACTAAGAAAATGTATCTAGGAGGCTTGTTTAATTCTATCTTGAACTTCTTACCTCTTTAAACAGCGTGCGCGAGCCAACACCTGCCACGATACTGCATCGGGCCGCCATCTGCCCATACTGGAGATTTTTCCCGAAGATCTGCTGTGCCAGGCCAGCGCTTTGAGCAGCTCCGGTCAGCGCATCTTCCTGCTATCCTTTGCGGCGGCGTTAACGCTGCCTCTGTTCACCATATCCCTTTGATGTTGGCTCTAGTAGTTGCTGCAACTGGCCAACTGAGATGCCTGTTGGATAACGATAATATATATGTATGATATTTGTATATAAAGTTGAACATAATATATATATATATAAATATATATGTACTAAACGTAGCCAGAGTTTTGGCAGCACTTGGAATTAGCTAATGAACCCAAACAATAACGGAAAAGAGAAAAATAGAGAAAAAATAAACAGCAAATCGGTTTATGTCCACTCGTAATGTGTAAGTTTTATATATGCATATGAAATATGTAAAAGTATATATTTACGGAAGATACACACATATATAAAGTAGGACTTTAAAAGACTGCGGCACGTTGTCGCAGTCTTTCAGCGCCAAGCGGTCGGGAGTTTACATAATTTTAATTGTTATTCAAATTATTATTCACTTCTTCATTCCTTTTTCGGACTTAATATATTGTCTAATTACTTCATCTTAACGCTTCAGTAAACTATTTTCGACACTAATTAGTGCTCACAGCTGTTCCGTATTATTATTTAGATTGTTTATCATGCGATACTCTTGTTTTAGCAATTATTTTTCATATAATCATTTACTTAACCACCATCAAAAGACCATTAGGTTATTTAAGTGCAGACGCTACACACCCTGTCCGCTTAGCGCTGAGTCTTGGCCAACTTAATGGTAATTAATACAATCGATTACATAAAATCACAAACACATTAACACACACACACACACGTACAAGCGGATATATGTTGATTCCTAATAAGTGACAAGGACACAAACATCATACTTATTTATAGACACACCCACACACATACATACATGCATACACACACACAATTAGAGCGTAGTTAATAAACACTTTTGCATCTATAGATTTAATAGACAATTAAGTTGTTAATAATAGTATACATGAGGTATATATATGATATATATATGAGTAATTTTAAAAGCTGAAACCGATTCTAGATACAAGTATGGAATACAACTTAGCAGCAAGGCCAATAAGTAAATGATAAATAAATAAATCTATATTAAATAATTTAATAAATATAACTAAATATATGAATATTTAAAGATACGAATATGAACATAACGATCAATTGGATAGCAATTACAATGGTTTTTTAATGAACGTAGAAAAAAGCGCCACCTTGCACACTTATCACTTAAAAAATAAATTTAAATTGAAAAAACAAAATGCAAAAAAAAAACGAGGACTACTAGGGGTTTACGAACTTTGGCGGCAGTCAATTTTTAACACACATATAAGTACATATCAGTTTTGGCAAAAGTAATATAATAAAACATAATGAAAAGCGTAAACATTTACAGAGTGCACACACACACACACACACACACACACACACACACACACACACACTCACACACAGGCCCGCGACAACAATATGAATACCAATTAAATGGCATAAATTATCAAACACAATTTTCCAACCACTTTTTTTGCTCTTGTTTTTGTTAATTGTTTTTCAAAATGAAATCACTTTTTGTTGTGTTTTTTCGTTACAACAATGACAATCGTGATACTAATTGTAGTTGTTTACACGACGATGATGCAAAATGCACAAGTATAATAATAATAATAATAAAATTAAACAAAAAGAACTAAATAAACTATTCACTGAGAGAACAAATGAATAAATTAATTAAAATAACCGAAACGAAGACCCACGAGATTTTGTGGTGCGGGGTGAAGGGTTCAACTGCTGCTGGTCATGAAATATCTGTTTTTAATCCTTTAAGCAATCATTTTCTTTTTGGGTTTTTGCAATTTTTGTGAAAACATTTTTATTATTAAAATATCATATTGTAAATATATGAATATATAGAGGCAGCGCATATTACAAATATTATGACATTGCATTGTGTTCTATTTTTTCTATCATTCCTATGATGCCCAACAGCAAAAGCAAAATTAAAGTAGTGGAAATTAAAAAAAAAAAAACAATTGGAGAAAATGACAAAAAAAAAATGAAAAACCAAAACCATATCAATACAAATGAAATTGAATAAAAAATAAATAAAAATGCTAGAAATATTAACACTGTGTGTTTCGATAATGGAAAACGGCAACAAAGGTATTTTAATTAAAATGAATTTGATAGAGCTGACCCCCCCCCCTTCCATCCTTAACACACTGCCCACTGTAAGTGACTACAACCCTTCGGTTGAACCGAAAATCCAAAATACCTTCGTTTAGCTGAGCGCTTACGTGTTTTAAATAACAAACACAATGCGCTAAACGGAGCAAATGGGTATACCGCACACACACACACCCAAACACACACACAGAGAGAGGGACACGCCCCCTCTGATTAAAGACTGCGACTGCGGCAAGCCGCAGACATTAGCCCCCCAGTCAGGAGCAGCTAGTCGACTCCTTGGCAGCTGCTTAGGTTCAGGTTGCGACCCTTTTATACATACATTTTAGTGTTTTGGCCAATGTAACTTGATAATAACGCGAGCAGCCCGCAAAGCCAACAGGCAAATAAACTGGCTAAAATTATGTGAGAGACGCGCGCACGCCACGCAGTGCCCCTACCCGAGCACCTCCCCACACCTACCACAAAATAAGTGAAGCCCTCCCCAAACGCCGGTCAGACCCTTGGCCATGCTGGCAGGCCATAGCCATAATTGGATTATCGGCACGCTGAAGAGCTCTGACGAGTGCTCTACTTGTGCACTAGATGCACTTGGCTCGGCTCTGATATCCTGGCTAAAATAAAAGTAAAAGTGCCAGATACCCCAAAGTGCTTCAGTTGAGTGCGGGGGCTAAGGGGCGCGGCGGCTATGTAGCTATACACACACACACACACACACACACTCTGCGTATAAATATACTTGTAATCTGGAAGTCTTAGTGCTAAATGTGGACTTACATTTTGGAGCAGTTACCGCAGCATCTTTTTGGGCCTGTTTCGTGGGCTTTCAAATTTCACATCTTTGTCAAACCAAAAGCTAAATTTTAATAGTAAAATTTCACACTATTAGCTTAAAATTCCACAATTGAACTTTTAAAATTCATTCAAAAGAAAATTCAACACATTGCGACTGCGCGGAACCGTCAATCTGTTTAACAGTCCAATTGACTACTGAAAACACAGAAAATAGATCACAAGAGGAATTCTTGCATGAAGCGAAAAGCATCAATAAAAATTCGACAGAGCGCGAGAGAAAGGTAGATAATGCACAAACAACTACACATATGCATGCATAGATAATGCACAAGCGAACACACGCACAAGCATGTGCATGCGGAGAGAGAAGCGCCAAATATAAATATTTTTTTTATATGTATGTCTGCTTGTACATTATCTGCTTATGCTTAGCGCACAGTCGAATTTTTGTTGCTTATCGCTCCAGACATGACTTGCTACAATTACTGTGCGCCAATTTTTTCGTCCGCTTTGCGCACTCGCAACTTAATTCTCTGTTAGTTTGACCCCAGTGCCAATTTGCACATGAAAGCAGACCGAATATTCTGCGCAGTCTCAAGTTTTCACCTGCTGGTTGTAAGAAAATATAATAAATATTTAATGGGCTGATCTTACTGAGCAAGATTAACACAAAATCGCACAGTTAATAATAGCTTTTACAATTAAGCAAATAAAAAATGTTATATATCATTTTAAGGGCAGTTAAATACAAGATGTAGAATAGCATTTGTCATTGCAACAGATTTAAGGTAGGACCTTCTTCAAAAATGTAACTCAATCAGCAATGAATAGCTTGCGGCTGTACAGAATTCGAGCCCTGCTTAAATGTGAAATTTGTCACTGGGGTTAAACCAAAACAGAATACAGTTGCGAGTGCGCAAAGCAGAAGTAGATAATGCACAAGCAGACATACATATACATAATTATAATTGGCGACTCTCCCTTGTTTGAGTGTGTGTTTGCCTGTGCATTATCTATGTGAACTTGCTTGTGCTTTATCTACCTTTGAATCGCGCTCAATTTGTTTTGTGATCAATGGCTTGCTATATTCTCTTTGCACCAATGTTTTTTGTAGTTTTTCCCATTAGTGAATCGCACTGCTCAAGAGAGATTTTGCATAGAATCATATTGTTAATTGCTGATCAGTTAAATATTTTTAAGAAGGTTCTGGACTATTGAACCAATTAAAATGTAAAATATAATGTTACTCCTTGATATTTTTATATTTTTGGAAATCAGCAGTCCGTTATATTAAATTTCACTTTCGTGTGTTATTTTTTAAAGCTCTCATAAGCTGGTCTACTGGCGTAATCTATCGCATCTTAAGCACTTATCATATTTTGACTCAACCAGCAATTAACACCTGGCGACTATACAAATTGTCAGCCCTGCTTCAATGTGCAATTTATCACTGGGATCAAACTAAAACAGAATTAAATTGAGAGTGCGCAAAGCAGACAAAAATTCAGGCGCACAGAAAATTGAGAAAGAGAAATTCGATTGAGCGCGCGTCAAAGGTAAAAAACGCACGGGCAACTATACATATGCATGACAAGATAATGCGCACACAAACACATATGTATATATGTATGTATGTCTGCTTGTGCATTATCTACTTGTGCTCTGCGCACTCGCAACTGAATTCTGTTTTAGTTTGACCCCAGTGATAAATTTCACATTTAAGCAGGGCTCGCATTCTACACAGCCGCAAATTAATAATTACTGATTGGGCTATATTTAACAAACGTAAGATCTTGGAAATATACACCTATTGAAAACTATGGTTGTCTATTGAATCTAATCGAAATGGCTAATGTAATTTTTATCTTTGTATTATAACTTTATTTTTGTGAATTTTTTAAAAGCTCATTAACTAGGTGATTTTGTGGTCGTCTAGCACAGAAAAAACTGATCAATAAATATTCATCAAATTTTCTCATAACAGCAGGTGCACTCTTGAGACTGTGCAGAATGCTCGGCCTGCTTAATGTGCAATTTACCACTGGGGTTAAACTAATAGAGAATAAGATTTGCGAGTGCGCAAAGCGAAGGACAAAATATGGGCGTACAGCAATTTTAGCAAGTCTTATTTGAAACTATGAGCGATAAGCATCAACAAAAATTCGACTGAGCGCGAGTCAACGGCAGATAAAGCACAATCAACTACACAAATGTATGAGTACATAATGCAACGGATTATAGTCGGTAAATATATATGTTTATATGTATGTCTGCTTGTGCATTGCGCTCAGACGAAGCTTTTTCTGCTCTGCGCACTCGCAACTGAATTCTGTTTTAGTTTGAGCCCAGTGTTAAATTGGGCATTTAAGCAGGGCTCACATTCTGCACAGCCGTAAGCTGTTAATAGCAGATTAAGTTATACTTCAATTAGAAGTTCCGATTTAGGAATGATATGCATACCTTTTAAAAAAGTAGCGGACTACTTTTGTAGAAATGAAACAAACATGAATAATATGTATTTCAAATAACTTCTTTCTAGTCTACATTTTGACAATTCTACATATTCTCAAATGTGCAATTTACTACTGGGGTTAAGGTGACAGAACTAAGTTGCGAATGCGCAAAGCAGAGGACAAAAAATTGGCGCACAGAAATTAGAGCAAGTCATGTCATGGAGTGATAAGCAACCAAAAATCATCTGAGCGCGATGATAAGTATGTAGATAATGCTAAGGGGACTCTCCCTTCGCAATAACTTGTTTGTGCGTGTGTTTGCCTGTGCAGTATCCATTCATACATATGTGTAGTTGCTTGTGCTTTATCTACCTTTGACTCGCGCTCAGTCGAATTTCTATTGATGCATTACGCTCATAACTCCGGACAAGACTTTTTCAATTTTCTGTGCGCCCTTTTTTTTTCCTCCGCTTTGCACACTCGCAATTTAATTCTCTGTTAGTTTGACGCCAGTGGTAAATTTTACATTAGAGCTGGCAGATTTTGCATAGCCCCATTTAGCACTTAAATTCTTATTTTAAAGAATACCATTTTTTATTGTCAATGCTAAATAAGCAATATAATAAGAGAAAGTTCTTTGAAAGAATAAAAAAATTAAATACGTATTCGCCGATGAAAGTCAAACTGAAATTGAAACGTTTTTATAACGCTTAAAGCATTTTTTTATTGTGTTCCCAACTTTTCAGGCAAATAAATGATAACAATTTGTTAATTAAAACGATTATTAATCTTTAAAGTTTTTTTAATTATTGCCTAAACTAAACTGAATTTGTATTGCTTGGATTTAAGAGCATTGTTTGTTTTCTGGATTACTGACTATGTATATAAGAAAGAAATAAACTGTTTCACTTTTTTCGTTCTTTTCAAAGTTATTAAAATAATGTATATGATTTGTCCAAAATAAATAGATATATTTTGTTAAAATTGATTTTATCTTTGGCATGAAATTTGGCTCTTAAAGT